AATGTTCAACACCATTCGTAACTCCTCAGATACTGAAGTAGTCCATGTTCACATGGAACAAAAACTGGCTAATATCTAGGCTTGGGCTGACAAGTGGCAAGTGACATTCGCGCCACACAAATGCCAGGCTGTGACCATCACCAAGAACAGAAAGTCTAACTGTCACCGAATCCCCTCACTATCAACATCCTGAGAGTTACCATTGACCAGAAACTCAACTGGAATCACCACATAAACACAGGGGCTACAAAAGCAGGCCAGAGGTTAGGAATACTTCGACGAGTAACTCCCCTCCTGACTCCTCAAAGCCTGTCCACCATCTACAAGGCACAAGTCAGGAGTGTGATGGAATACTCCCCACTTGCCTGGATGGGTGCAGCCCCAACAACACTCAAGAAGCTTGACACCATCCACCACTGACGCTCAGTAGCAGCAATGTGTACTGTCTACAAGATACACTGCAGAAACTTACCAAAGATCCTCAGACAGCACCTTCCAAACCACAACCACTTCCATAAAGAAGGACAAGGGCATCAGACATATGGGGACACCACCCCCTGCAAGTTCCCCTCCAAGTCACTCACTATTCTGACTTGGAAATATATCATCGTTCCTTCACTGTCACTGGGTCAAAATCCTGGAAATCCCTCCCTAAGGTCATTGTGGGCCAATCTACAGCAGGAGAACTGCAGCAGTTCAAGAAGGCAGCTCACCACCACCTTCTCAAGGAGCAACTAGGAACGGGCAAGAAATGCTGTCCCAGCCAGTGATGCCCACATCCCACAAAATGAATAAAATAAAAAATGTTTTACCTACAACACTACTTATTCCATTCCTAACTGTCCCTCACAAGTCTTGCTCTTCCTGAGCTCCATCTACATACGGTCCTATTCAAAACTGAGTACCCGCCTTTCTGATGGAGTCACGGGATTCAAATCATTAGCCCTGCTTTCTTCCCACAGGTACTGCAAGACCTAATGAGTTTCTCCAACAATTTCTGTTTTTGTCGTGAGCCCTTTGCACCACTACTGTATCAATAGGCCCAGCATCTACTCTCATCATCGGTATTAGTTAAATTTACAGTGGATTACGGGTCATTCCCATTGGCCATTAAGTGAACTAGACTTGCCATATAAATACTGTGGCTGCAAGAACAGGTCAAAGGCTAAGTATCCTGCAGGAAGTAACTCACCTCCTGGATTCTCAAAGCCTGTCCACCATCTACAAGGCACAAGTCAGGAGTGCGATGGAATACTCCCCACTTGCCTGGATGGATGCAGCCCCAACAACACTCAGGAAGCTTGACATCATCCAGGACAAAGCAGCCGCTTGATTGGCATCATATTGACAAAAATTCATGTACCTGTCTTTTAAATGTTATAATTGCACCCGCCTCTACCACTTCCTCTGGCAGCTTGTTCCATATATGCACCACCCTTTGTGTGAAAAAGTTGCCCCTCACATGCCTTTTAAATCTACCCCCTCTCCCTTTAAACCTATGCCCTTTAATTAATAGTAGCAGTGTGTATTACCTATAAGATGCCCTGCAGAAATTCACCAAAGAACCTCAGACAGCACATTCCAAACCCATGGCCACTTCCATCTGGAAGGACAAGGGCAGCAGATACATGGGAACACCACCCCCTGCAAGTTCCTCTCCATGCCACTCATCATCCTGACTTGGAAATACTCTATTGTTCCTTCATTTTCACTGGATCAAAATCCCTGGAACTCCCTCCCTAATGGCATTGGCGGGGTCAACCTACAGCACATGGACTGCAATGGCTCAAGAAGGCAGCTCACCACCACGTTCTCAAAGGTAAATAAGGACAGATAGGAAATGCTGGCCCAGTCAGCAATGCCCATATCCATGAATGAATACTTTTAAAAATCCCGTAGACTCAAACTCCTCACATCTACAGCAGCCTAGAGCCCAAGATTTCATTCAAGCCAAACACTAGATGTTCAATTTAGATTCAGCCTTTCATTTAACTACAGATTTAAACACATTTGGATTATTGCCTTATAAGGAAATTTGTCATCGACATATTGTCCCCGTCATTTTGAAACTGGTCCTCAAAGTTTTGGTGGGTTTTTGAAAACAAGATCTGTTGAATCTCAAAATGTTGCTGAAATGTTTGCATAACTTGGCCAGGGAATGGTGCAGCAGAATCGCAGAATTATCACAGTGCAGAAGGAACCATGCCAGCCCTCATGTCTATACCAACACTATTATCTAGTCCAGCTGTATCATTTAGTATCAATCTCCTGCCTTTACCCCCTATCCATGCACACCATTACAATCCAAATTATCATCCAATTCCCTCTTGAATGCCTTAACTGAACCTGCCTACGCCACATGAGCAGGCAGTGCGTTCCACACCTTAAGCACTCGCTGGGCGAGAAAGCTTTTTCCTCATGTTAGCCTTACTTCATTTACACATCACTTTAAATCTCGTCCCTCTCTTTCTTATTTCTGTTACAGTGGGACTAGCTTCTCCCCATCTACTCTGGCCAGCCCATCCATGATTTTGGAAATCTCTATCAAACCTGCTTTCCAAGGACAACACTCCCAACTTCTTCAAGCTATCCTCAGAATTGAATTTCTTCATTGCAGGAACCATTCTAGTAAATCGCTTCTGCACTCTCTCTGATGAATTCCTACCTTTCCTATAATGTAGCGCCCAAAACTGTACACAATACTCCAGCTGAAGTTTAACATGTGTCTTGTGTCAATAAATGTGGAACTGAAAAAGCACAGCCGGTCAGACAGCATCCAAGGAGCAGGAAAGTCAACATTTCGGGTCGAACCCCTTCGTCAGGACTGGGGAGAGGGAGGGGAGTCCAGAAATAAAGAGAGGGAGTGGGGTGCGACCGGGGGTGGGGGTGGGGACAGGGCGGTAGGTGAGATGGAGATAAATGGATATAGGAAGGATTTATTGTGGTTGGTCAGTGGGAAGGGTGGAGCGGATAGGGAAGTCAGAAGATGGACAGGTTGAGGAAGGAGAGATTTTGAAGCTGGTGAACCCAATATTCAGGCCATTGGGCTTTAAGCTCCCGAGATGAAATATGAGGTGTTCCTCCAGCTAACATTTGGCCTCATTCTCACAGTGGAGGAGGCCAAGGATGGACATGTCTGTAACAATTGTCTTGTATTGCTTCAACATCACCTCCCTGCCCTTGTATTCTACGTCCCTACAAATAAAGCCGAGGACACTGTATGCTTTATTAACTGGACTCTCCCCCTGTCTTGCCACCTTCAGTGAGCTGTGCACATGTACCCCCAGCTGCCTTTGCTCCTACACCCCCTTTAGAATTGCACCCTCTACTTTATGTTGTCTTTCAATGTTCTTCTGACCAAACTGCATTGCCTAACACTCTCTGCATTGAAACTCATCTTTCACCTCTCCGTCCACTCCACCAACTTGTCAATGTCCTTTTGGAGTTCCACATGGCCCTCCTCATAATCTACATTTCTTCCAAGTTTTGTAAATTTTGAAATTGTCCCTCACACACTAAGATCCAGATTATTAAAATACATAAGGAGAAGCAAGCCCTGGGTATCTCTACCACAAAACTTCCTGCAGCCTGAAAAATATTCATTGAATTGAATTGAATTGTATTGTATTGAATTGTATTGAATTGAGTTGAATTGAATTGAGTTGAATTGAGTTGAATTGAATTGAGTTGAATTGAGTTGAGTTGAATTGAATTGAGTTGAATTGAATTGAGT